AGGGTATAAAAAGTTACAAGTGCCGTGGAGTTTTTGAAAATATTTTCTCAAGGCCTATTAAGATCCATGAATTTCAGATATTTTCCCAAGGACTATGAAGAAGCGTGGACTATCAAGACACGTGATTTTTATACCCTACACAACTGTGTTGTCAAGGTATTATAGCATTGTGCAGCCCCAAGTTTTTATAACGCCGCGAAATATTGGTCCTAGACCCACCTTAAAGTATACCGATCGTCATATCTCGACTAGCTGAGTCGATCTAGACATGTGTGTCCGTCCGTCTGTCCATTATAATTTGTAAACACGATACAGGTCAAAGTTATGGACCAATCTTCACGACATTTTGCATGTAAGATGGGTTCTGGCCAATGAAGGCCCCTATTGTTTTTGTTAAAGATCGTTTAATATTTAGGGGATGAAATGGACCGAAAACATTATTTTTGTCTAATTTTCTGGTAGCAATTATGGCCCAAACATCGCGAATTTTTATATGAAAAAGGGGATCAGGCCAAAGAATAAGCATGCCTGTTTTGATAAAGATCGGTCAATATTTAGCGGGTCAAATGGACCCTGATTTTGTGTGAGAAATTACAAAATTTGTATTCTATGGCGTATAGATCCTAGAAATGGATAGTATATCCAAGAGGAGTGGTTGGCGTTTATAATTTATTGTCGTATTTACTCGGATTTTGGAGTTACACTTAAATATTTACAGGTGCTTACGTATTCAGATATTATTTAGTAACCCATTACCACACTAGAAGGCGAAAATATAGCACTGATCGCTTTGAAATTTTCCATGAGGATCCAGGTATGGTCAAGGACAACGCCTATAATTTTCGGTGATGATCAGATAATAATATTGAAATGAAATGGATCGAAAGAATTATTTTTATTTTTTTCAAATCGATCTATAGGCCACAATTGAAAATGGAACATCACAACACAACCCACAGTAAAGGGAATCTTAGATTTGGAAGTTGTGTATGGTATCATATGGTCGGCCCCGTCCAACTATACTGCTCCGCTCACTGGTTTTCAAAATAGTTTTTCAAGGAGTATCAAGAGGCTTAGGCCCATGTTGTTGATTTTTATAATATTTTGTATCAAAACGGATTGAAACCAATGTTTTCCTCAAGCGGCGTGTTTTGATTTCCACTATTAGGCCTGGGTAATTGTTGGCAGCATGTTTTTTTGATGGCTAACACTAAACGTTATGCCATTTGTAAGTTATTTGTTCTATGCTCTTTGTTTTTTTTTTTTTTTGAATAGCTTCAAATCACTTGGAGTTTTGCTTTATTGCTTCCTCTCGTGTTTTGTTAGCTTAAAAAAAACTCGGTCACGTCATCAAAATCTGGTGGCCAAATTACAATTGCTACAAAGTTCGCATGTGGGAGGGTGTGAGAAAAAAATTTAATGTTTTTTTTTTCGGTGGAAAATTCTCTGTGACGTCAATAAAGGAATGAAACAAAAAGTGAAAAAACCAAAAACTTATTTTCCGTTTTATTGTAGTATTAAAGGAAAACTAAATGAATTGTCGCTATTGCTTCTCTTTCCACCTAACCAACCAAACATCAACGAGAGAAAAAGCGAAAACACGCCAAACAAATTGGCATTAAATGAGAATTCATTACAAATGCAAAGAGTACGTGAACACAATATGGTTCTACATTTTATGCTGGCCATGTTTTTCGTTGATCCTCCTCCGAACGCTTGAAGCTATTTTTTTTTTCGACAAAAAATACAAATCTATGGCAAATGAGTGGCAAGGGTAGCCAAAAAAAGGATGGCCCGAGAACTAAAATCGAAAGTAAAGTGTTTACGCAGCATTTTTTTCGGTTTTTAGGGGGGATTTTATTTTTTTTCATTTTTTTCAATGGTAGAAAGGATTCTGGCAAAGGATTTTTGTAGTTTTTTCCATTTTGTTTTGTTTCCACCAAAAGCAAACCATTTCTCCTACTCGTCGTACGTAGGATGTCGACAGTAACAAACGAGCAAATAAAATAGACAAACCCCATAGAAAAATCATCATCGTAAAAAAGTGAAAGTTGTTTTTTTTTGTTGTTGACATTTTTTTATAAACCGTAAAGTCCTTGTTTATCCATTCACCTTATCAGAGGCTTTTCGATATTTTTGCTTTTCTTTTGGATTTGTTTTGAAACCCTTGTTATTGTCTCAATTTCTATTCGTTAAGGGTTCATTGGTATTGATTGAATGTAAGGACACATTCCATTACTTCCAATCGAATGATTGAAAAGGACAGTTTTGGGAGAAAAAAATAATAGAAAATAATTAAATTGAATCCAATTCACTACCATGTGTGGTGCATACTTTTAGGCAAGCCAGATGTTAAAGGCTTCAGTGAATAAATACAAATAAAAATCTATTAAGTAGAGATAAAATTTAAAAAATATTTATAAAGGATGTTTCCTTAAGGACTTAACAAGAATGGTTTGAAAAAAAAAAATATAAAGTATTATTAAGAAGCGTGGATCTTTTTTAAGAATATTTTCAAGGACTATTTTTATAATATTTTGGAAGGACTATCAAAGTGCTTGATATTTTATTTTTATATTTTTTAAAGGACTGTTTTTTTATAAAGACTACCAACTGGCGTAAATTTTTTAAAAATATTTTTTAAAGACATAGAAGCGTCGATTTTTTAAAAATATTTTTAAAGACTTAGAGGCATAGATTTAAAAAAAAATATTTTTTAAAGACTTAGAGCTTTAAAAAATATTTAAAAAAAAATATTTTTTAAAGACTTAGAGGCGTAGATTTTTAAAAAACTATTTTTTAAAGACTTAGAGGCGTAGATTTTAAAAAATATATTTTTAAAGACTTAAAGCCGTAGATTTTTTAAAAAAAATATTTTTTAAAGACTTAGAGGCGTAGATTATAAAAAAACTTTTTTTTAAAGACTTAAAGGCGTAGATTTTTAAACAAATATTTTTTAAAGACTTAAAGGCGTAGATTTTTAAAAAAATATTTTTTAAAGACTTAGAGGCGTAGATTTTTAAAAAACTATTTTTTAAAGACTTAGAGGCGTAGATTTTTAAAAAACTATTTTTTAAAGACTTAGAGGCGTAGATTTTTAAAAAACTATTTTTTAAAGACTTAGAGGCGTAGATTTTTTAAAAAAAACTCTTTTTTAAAGACTTAGAGGCGTAGATTTAAAAAAAAAATATTTTTTAAAGACATTGGGGCGTAGATTTTTAAAAAAATATTTTTTTTAAGACTTAAAGGCGTAAATTTAAAAAAAAATATTTTTTTAAGACTTAAAGGCGTAAATTTAAAAAAAAAAATATTTTTTAAAGACTTAAAGGCGTAGATTTAAAAAAAAATAAAGACTTAGAGGCTAGGATTTTTTAAAGATTTGTAGGATTTTTTAAAGATTTTGTAAAGACTACCAACAGGCGTAGATTTTGTAAAGACTACCAACAGGCGTAGGTTTTTTAAAGACTACAAAAAGGCGTAGATTTTTTAAAGACTACAAAAAGGCGTAGATTTTTAAAGACTACAAATAGGCGTAGATTTTTTAAAGACTTCCAACAGGCTTAAATTTTTTAGACTACCAACAGACGTAGATTTTTTAAAGACTACCAACAGGCGTAGATTTTTTAAAGACTACCAACAGGCGTAGATTTTTTAAAAATATGTTTTAAAGACTACCAACAAGCGTACGTTTTTAAAAAATATTTTTTAAAATTACCAACAAACGTAGAATTTAAAAATATATATTTTTAAAATCTCCCAACAAGCGTAGATTTTTTTAAAAACCTAATTTTTGAAAAAATATTGTATTCCGCTATGACCTTGCTCGATACACAAAATTTCTCAATTTTTTTATGAAAATTACCATTTTCTCCATCTCTTTGTAACTAAGACCCCACCAGCAACCTTTGTGTACCTGCTCTGCTAACCCAATTTTCCGGGGAAAACAAAAAACCATGCATTAACACTGTCAATTACATTCGGTGCAAAAAATCCCTTTTTTGGCTTCATTTCGTTGCTTTCAACACTTTGATGTGGAAAGTTTATGAAATTGCTGGGTAAATCAACGATACAGGAAAGATTATTTTGCCACTGCAACACAAATACGATACGACACGACGTTCAGCATGCAATTTCCATATTATGCCACAGAAGTAAACACCACTCGACCGCCCTTCAACGTTGCATGTTAGGCTTGCTGGCTATCCACACACACAATGCGGTACTTCCTGGCAAATAACCCAGCCTAGTTGAATGCGTTCGTGTGCGGGTGTTGTGCAAATTTTTGGCAGATGTTCAAAAAATCTTGTTCCGCCTGGTTGATATGTTGTACCGATAGTGACTTTACAAAAAACCGAAAAACAACTGATACAACAGCAACAACAACAAATGTTTGGCCACTGCATTGTATGACAATGCCATCATCCATGGATGACTGGATGGTGCACACAACCAGTCTGAAAACAAACCAAACAAAAATTTGCCAGTATATGTTCTGATGTTTTTTGTTGTTGGTTCTGATAAACAAACTACGTTTTGTAGGGCGGTTAGGAGTGTGTGGGTATGTGAAGGTAGTGATGAAAAGTGGCAGTTTTGTAAACATTAATTAAGCCTTTCACAACAACACCTATGTAACCACCTACCTATCTACACCTAACATCAGAAAGCTCATGTTCGATGTTTGGCATGGTGACTGTGTTTTATTGCCATATTCAGCAGACCATGCGAACTGTTAAATAGGCGTTTTAATTTAGTTATGGTAATATTTATCTGGAGTTAGAGTATGTCTCAGATTATAGGAATGAGGAGATAAATGTTTACACACAAAAATTAAGATGTCTAAGAAGATGATGTGACAAAAATCATAATCAAAAATCCCAGAACCCCTTTGAAGGAGATTGCAAAATGGAAAATCATCGTAACACCATACAAAACCCTTTTAAGACAATGTATTTTTATTCGAAATATAAAATAATTCTAATCGATTATTTTTCCTTTTACAGGTTGCAAATTTGTCCGTACCCTGTGCTTGGAAGGGAGTGAAGTGTGCTTCGATGGTAAGTTAGAATTCGAAATATATAAACTATCAACATTTTACGAACTACACACCATTGTAGATTTTTAAAGAACATTTTTTCTGGGATCAACGATATGCGCGGATTTTTTATAAGACCAAAAATAGGCGAAAATTTTGAAAAAATAAAAGAACCACAAACAGCCGTATATATTTTTTTAATATTTTTTATACCACCAACAGCAGTAGACTTTCTACAAACATTTTTTCAAGGAGTTCCAATAACCGTCGATTTAAAAAATTTTTTTTTTTTTTCAAGAACTACCAACAGGCGTAGATTTTTTTAAAAATATTTTTTTCTAGGACTACCAACTGGCGTAGATTAAAAAAATATATTTTTTCTAGGACTACCAACTGGCGTAGATTAAAAACCAGTGAGCGGAGCAGTATAGTCGGACGGGGCTGACCATACGATACCCTACACAACTTTCATGAAAATCTAACTTTCTGTGGTTGTATATTCTGAGATTGGTCAATATTTCGCGATATTTGCACACTTTTGACTGGCAAAATGTTACTAATAATCATTACAGCACCTCTAATACTTGTCCAGATTCCCTTCACCGTGGGTTGTGTTGTGATGTTCGGCTTTCAATTGTGACCTATATATCGACTCCAAAAAACACAAAAAATTAGGTTTTCGGTCCACTTGATCCCAAAATTATTATCTGATCATCACCGAAACTAATAGGCGTTGTCCTTTGCCATAACTGGAATCTCATGGAAATTTTCAAAGCGATTAGCGCTATATTTCCGCCCTCTAGTGTGGTTTTGGGTTACTAAATTATGTCTGAATACGTAAGCACCTGTAAATATTTAAGTGTAACTCCCACATACAACCATATAATTGGTATCAATTTAAAGGTCAACCACTCCTTTTGAACAATATAACTATTGGTATCAATTTAAAGGTCATTTTTCACACAAAAGTCTCCATTTGACCCGCTAAATATTGGAACTTTATAAAATATTTTTCCTATCAAAAATTTCACGATGTTCGGACCAGAAAAACCTACAAAAATTAAATATATACCAAAAACAATAGGGGGTTTCATTGGCCAGAGCCCATGCAAAATTTCGTTAAGGTTGGTCCAAAACTGTGGCCTGTATCGTGTTTACAAATTATAATGGACATACGGACACATATATACTAGTCTATAGATCGGTATACTTAAAGGTGGGTCTAGGACCAATATTTGTAATTTTTCACACAAAAGTTGTGTAGGGTATAATGACTACAAAGATGCACAAAGACATAATACCCTTCACCACACTGTGCATATGTTTGTAACAGGCAACAGGAAACTTGGTTCCTTTTGAGATATGCAGGCACTTTCTAAGCTTATTCTTTCCATGTTAAATTGAAAACAAAGTACAGGTCGCATTTATAATCCCCTTCTCCCCGAACCCTATTGAAATTGGGAAAAATCGGTTCAGATTTAGATATAGCTCCCGTCCGATTTAAGGTAAATGGTGCACCAAAGTTCCTATATATCCTTCGATTTCCACGAAATTAGGCATAGCGTACTGAAGTGAGTGTAGAATGGTGTGTATTAAGTTTCATGAAAATCGGTTCAGATTTAGATATAGCTCCTATAAATATTTTCCTCCCATTTAATGTAAATGGTGCACCAAAGTCAATCTATATCTTTCGATTTGCACGAAAGTGGACATAGAGTAATGAATTAGGTCTAGAATGAAATGGGTTAAGTTTCCTGAAAATCGGTCAAGATTTAGATATAGCTCCCATATATCTTTTCGTCCGATTTAATGTAAGTGGTGTACATATATCTTTTGATTTGCACGAAAATTTGCATAGCGTACTGATTTAAGTCTAGAATGATGTGTGCTATGGTCCGGTTCAGATTTAGACATAGCTCCTATATATACTTTCTTCCGATTTTATGTAAATTGTGTAAATTGTGATATATAAGGATTCATCTGTTGAATATACCCAAAGTGGTGAAGGGTATCATATAGTCGGCCCCGTCCGAATTTACTACTTTCCTTACTGGTTTAAAATATTTTTTTAAAAAATTTAAGACATAAAATAGGCCTGGGTTTTTCAAGAAAATTTGGGACTTTTTCAAAATAAATTTCAAGGACTATCAACCAGTGTGTATTTTTTAAAAAATGTTTAAGCTTCGATTTTTAGATTTAAAAAAATGCTTTAAAAACTACCAATAGGCGTAGATTTTTTAAAACTAATATTTCAAGGACTACCAACAGGTCCTAGGTAATGTGGCTGCCATCTATCGTTGTCCGTGGACTATTTTAAAAATATTTTTTCGAGAATAATTTTTTTTTTAATTAAAAATATCTTTGCAATGAGTATGAAAAGTAGTGGAATTTTTAATATATATTTTCAAGGATCGAAAAAAATGTAATGTTATATATTTTCAAGTACTAACACTAGCCTGGGTCGATCTTTTTAAAAATAATTTTCATAGACACTCGAAGCATGAATTTTTTAAAAATAATTTTTCAAGAACTTCCAAACGAACTTAGATTATTTTTATTCATAAAAAATAATCGTTATTTATTAGATTTTTTCCTAATTTATTGTCGATTTAAAATGTAGGGTATTTTCGCTAACACAAAATTAATCCCAATTTTTATATTTTCCTTTTTTTTGTTGTTGTAGTTTTTGGGGGCACTTCCATCTGACATTTCAGCTTAATGGGTTTTTCGGTAAATTGCATGAATTAACATTAAACGTTTGCTGCTGATAGTCCATAATTTAGCATTAGATTTTCATTATCTTGCCGTTGGCAGAAAAGAATATTAACACGTAAACAATTCAAGGATAACTCCATCCACCCGGCCTCCCGTCTGGCCCAGTCAAAAATTAAAGGCAAAACATTATCAGGTCGTTCAGCTTGTCCAATGAACTGCTGGCTTGCGCCTTGCTGGAGTGGAGAAAAAAAATTGTAAACAATTCTGACCTAAACCTTTAAATTATGACCCGGTTTTGTAGACAACATGGGGGCAGGGGAGAGGAGTAGAGGGAGAAATGGCGAGAGAATGGATGAACAAAATAAAAAAGTCGTCATCATCCTCATCAGCAATATGCAAATAACAAACCGTCTTTATAGCAGTAGGATAGGACAGGACAGTGGGATAGTCTGATTAGTCAAAGGCGTGGGAGGGTAAAACTGAAATGGGGTTAGGTTAATATATTGCAGCATTTATATACTCATTGGAAATTCGATAAACATTTTCCTTGGAACATTTTGTTATAAAATTTATTAAGCTACGCCACTGCCGCTATGTGTATGAGGCATATTTACGAAGGGAGTAATTTGAAGAAAGTGTAGGCGATAAGTATAATAGATGAGTTGCCTGGGCAAACGATTCGCTTTGGCCGTGGCCGTGCTGATGTTCGTTAGCAAATTCAATTGCATTCAAATAAAGAGTCCTTTATTTATGGCAACGAGTCCTTCCACCACTTAATGCATACACTGAGTGGTGTTTGGAAGCCCTTTGGCACCCGTAAATTATGATAAACTCAACAATTATGGTTATTATCATTACAATCATTGTTTTGTTTCTTCCCTCTTTTCCGCTCACCCTCTACATCATTCGGCCATAATTGACTGGAATAGACAACATCTTTGGAAAATGTATACCAACCACTGGTGTCGATATGGAGGACATTGAAAAGTAAGTAGTTCAAGGATCAATCATAATCAATTAAAAATCTAATTATTTTCTCTTCTCCTCCTTCCCGTTCTTTCTGCAGGACCCCTCTCACGGAAGACCAATCACGTTTACTCGCCACTATGCTCGAGGAGTTGCAGGGGGCCGGGTTAGGCTGGGACCATCCATATGTCCAATGTCGCATACAGGGTTCATTGTTTTCGATGCAAAAGCAAATCCAACTACCTCCCAATCTCTGTGCTAATCTGGCGCCCATGCCAACCGACTTCGATGGACCAGCTGATGCCATGGCCTTTGTACGTTTCATACCACCGGAAGAGGATTATGCGAATGCGAATAAACTCTTGTACCCGCCTCTAAAGAAACACTGGTCTCCATCGGGTTCGAGTGGCATTAATGCCATTTTACAACAATTACAACTGCAGGATCGTCAGGTACGCAATGACCCTCTGGAACTTTCCCAGTTGGGAGAATTCGATAGGCATCGTGAATCGCAAATGAATCCTCCCAATGTTATGGATGTGTTTTTGGAAAATGAACGGGCCCGTATACAAAGGGAACAGGAGCAACAGGAGGCCCAATTGGAGGAGGAACGTAAAGAGGCGGCCAGGAATCGTTTGGAATTATATCAGATGTTAGCTGCCTCAGAACCGGATCCTCAGCCATATGAAAGGAATTCCGAACGTATTGCCGAGCAAATGGAAACTGTACCTCTGCCTCCGTCTGTGCCAATTTATGTTCCGGAAGAACCTAGCGATGATTCCAATGAATTTTATTTCCCCGAAAATTATGGACCCCTCAAGCGTACAAGTCCTCGCAAAGGTGTGGCGGCCAATGAGAAACCCTCTCGGGAACGTTCTTTCTTCCGTGAATTGGCACAAGAAAAGGGATTGGAACAAGAACCTCCTGTTTACAGCCACATTCAGGCAGCCGAACCTCTAGAGGTCGACGAAATCTCAGCCTTTAAAAGACAACCTCCCCATCAAATGGACCCTGCTGAAAATGACAATCGTCTGGACATAGAAGAAAGTCTATTCCGCAACTCCCTTACTCCTCTCGAAGAAGAAGCATTGCTGTCGGCCAATATGCATCCACATCGTCATAAACAACATCGTCCCGAAAAGGTTTATACCGAAGGTGGTCTCATAACCATGAATGAAGTGCCCGGTTTTGATGCTGCCTACAATAAGGAACAGCGTAAAGAGAAGGCTCGGGAATTATTGGCAAATATGTTGGGTTTTACCCGCCACGAACGTTTGGATGTTAAGAAACCAGGACCAATGTTGGGTCCTCCACCATCCGTTAAAGAGGATTTGGTGCGAAAGTCGAACAGTACAGCGTCAGAGGCGAATAACAACAAGGAACAGCTACCGGCCCATATTAAGGGCAGCAATGAGGCAAGCAAAAAGAAGAAAGTCGTTAAAAACCACTCGGATGAAGATCATGCACCGCATACTGTCGATACTGAGTATGCGCATGTGTTTGTTAAAAACCCGTAAGTATGAGTGGGGAATAAAAAACGGTTTTTATAGAAAAAAAAAATTCTGTACCTGACAAAAATTCATCAGTCACTGGTGGCTGATTTTTTCCATAGAAACAAATTCCTGTGTCTCAGCGGACTGATTTTTTTCAATAGAAAAAAATTTCTATAGAAAAAAATCTTCAATTACTGAGGACAGATTTTTCTCTAAAGAAAAAAATCCTCAGTCAATGAGGACAGATTTTTTTTAGTAGACCTATTTTCCCCATAAAATTTCTTTTGATCCTGCGGAGTTTTTCTTGAGATAATTACATAGTTCTATAAATATAAATCTCCTCTTCCCACAGCATCGACAGTTGGAATGATGGCGTGCGCATCGTAAACGAGTTGGCAAATATTTTACACATGCAAGGATACTTTACTTATTTAACGTAAGTTAACAATATCCTCATACCCCTTAGATCCTTATTAATATCTATTCCATTTAATCCCTCAGCGTTCTACCACATGAAGTCTCTTTCCGGGTGGACTCAAATAACCCCGAACACAAGACGGCCATTGACATTGCCCGAGCGATTAATGAAAATCGTGGTGTCAAAAATAACATCCTTCGTCGTCTCGGTGTAACCGTACTGAGTGCCGGTGTTGGTGATAAAATCAAACGCGATGAAGACGGTAGTGTTTCGGCAGCACGTATTGAGCTGGCTGATCAAGGGCCCGATGTTACCCACATTATGGTTTACATGTTTGCGGGTGCTGGGGCAGCAGCCATTATTGTTATATTTGTAACGTTGATCCTGATAAAACGCCATGATAAGAAACGCGATAAATTGGGTGGTATACAGTCGGGTATTGCGGGTGCGGAAAGTTGCACTAAAGATTATCAGGATTTGTGTCGTGCTCGTATGGCGGGAGGTAAGGGAAGTAGTACTGTTGAGCCGGTAGCAAGTGGACGCATAACATCACTGAGTAAGGATAATGAAAGGCCGCCGTCGTCACGATCCAGTACCTCTTCGTGGAGTGAAGAACCGGCCCTTACGAATATGGATATTTCGACGGGACATATGGTGTTGGTAAGTGAAAAAGGTCTTCATTTATTATATTGAACCTAACAATTATTTGTTTGCGATTTCAGTCTTACATGGAAGACCACTTGAGAAACAAAGGCCGCCTGCAAAGAGAATGGGAAGCATTATGTCGTTATGAGGCCGAACCCAGTGCTCGAGATGCTGCATTACAGCCTCAATGTGCTAATTTGAACAGACCTGGTGCACCCTTGCCCTATGACCATTCTCGTGTAGTCTTAAATCATTTGGCCAATGCTGAAGGTTTGGATTACATTAATGCTTCGACAATTGTAAGCTTCGATATAACATAATATTATTTTAAGATTTAATTAAAATGTTATACTTTTCCCTTTCAGACCGACCACGATCCCCGTGCCCCTGCTTACGTTGCCGCACAAGGACCCATTCCCTCTACACTGGCCCACTTCTGGCAAATGATTTGGGAACAGGGTGCCGTTGTCATTGTGGCCCTGTGTCGTTTGCAGGAGAATGGCGAAATTGCATGTGCCCGTTACTGGCCTGAAGAAGGTGCTGAGGTTTATCACATCTATGAGGTGGGTGGGGAATTTTTAAAATTTTAGTTGACAAATTTTAATGGTGGTATGTTTTTCATTTCAGGTCCACTTGGTTAGTGAACACATTTGGTGTGATGACTATCTGGTCCGTTCATTCTATCTGAAAAATCTGCGTACGAGTGAAACTCGCACAGTGACACAGTTCCATTTCCTATCATGGCCCCAGGGTGGCGTACCACCACAAGCTAAGGCGTTGCTGGATTTCAGAAGGTTTGTATGAATAACATGTGAAGTGAATAATGCTAAGTTCAATTAAGTGAAGAAGAAATTTATGAAAAATGAATTTGAGGTTGGGTGGATACTGAAGAGATCATTAAAAGTTCCTTACTATTCGAAGGAATATTGGAAACGATTTTTCAATGAAAATAAATGAGACAGTCTGTTCCCAGAAGTACTACGATATTCTCCGTCGACGCAGATCGGCTCTTAGATCTTTCGGAGAATTTTTCTCTCAAACACTCCAAGAGCTGCCTCATCTGCTTGAGCAAATACACATGCTTCAGATGCTTCATGAGGGATAGTATCAGCGTCTTGTAGAGTGTGAGTTGGCCAACACGATCCTTCTAAGAATTGCAAAACTGATGTAATAAATTTTGGCGAAGGCCAAGATACAGTCACTTCTGTTGGAAAATGAACCAAGGAACCTCAAAATACTTAAAATGGAATGATACTTTTGTAAAAAATATGGCCCTATATTATTGTGATGTACTGTAGCTACACGGAACCCGGATTTCAGAAATTATTTATATGGAGGCTTATATTAAAAACGTCTTATTTTAGACAAAAAAAATTCTATAGAAACGTTTAGGCCTCATGCTAATAGTTTATTGGGAGAAAAGATTGTTGAGGTCGGTCAGGGTCTCCACCATGAGGTGCGCATTAAAAATACCTAAAATCGGCCGTGGCTCTTATATGAGAGAATATGTGAAATCATGAACCCATGGATTATTATCCTCTTTGAAAATTATTGAAAAAGTTCTCTGAAGAAGTTGTTTGCTCAACATGCGTCCGAAACACCAAGTAGTCACCTCTGTTCGAAAATGTGCCAAGGACCCTCAAAATACTTAACATAGAATGACACCTTTACAGAAAATGTGGACCTATATATTCTGATAAAAATGTGTACCCACACGGAAACCGGAGTTCACAAATTACTTATATGAAGGATAGGTCAATACATGGAGTTATATTGAATATTTTCGGTATAGAAGTATTTCACCATATAAGAATCCGGAATATCAATTTACAGTCTTTTCGATTTAAAAATGCAATAGAATCTTTCAAAATACCGAAAATGTGGCAATAACATTGCATGGGGACTATACTGAAACGTGGACCTATGTTGGCAATTTTTTGCGAAGAAGTTTTCGTCTCAACAAGAACAAATAGTGCTAAAATATAGCACTTTTTGTTTGTACCATCAAAATACCTGTAATGGACTTGCCTCCATATAATGGACCTGCCTCCGCAATTCGCTCCAAATTAAATTTACAAATTTATAAAATATTCACCCTTTGTGGGGGAGATGTCAGGAGGATTGGACCAATAAGTCACATCTTCAGACTTGAACTAGGCTTGGTGATGTTAATAGGTTATGCAAGGTTTGGCTCCAATTGGACATTCCATTCGCCTAATATCCCATTTATAAATATTGAAAATTTTGACCATTTTTGGGGAAGGTACCAGAAGGTGGGGACAAATGGGTTCTATCTTCGGACTTGATGTAGGGTTGGTAAAGATAATAGGTTGCGCAAGGTTTGGTTCAAATCTGACATTCATTTCGCCTGATATTGCATTTATAAATATTGAAAATTTTGGCCATCTGTGGGGGAGGTACCAGAAGGAGTGGGTCAATGGGTCCCATTTTCGAACTTAATCTAGACTTCGTAAAGATAATGGATTGTGCAAAGTTTGGTTCAAATTGGACACTCCATTTGCCCCATATTGTATTTATAAATATGGAACATTATGACCATTTGTGGGGAGGTACCAGAAAAAGTAAACCAATGGGTGGCAACTTCGGACTTGATCTAGGGCTGGCAAAGATAAAAGGTTGTGCATAGTTTGGCTCCAATCGGATAGTACGTTCGCATTCATATTATACAATTAAATTTTACCACAATTTTGACCATTTTGTGGGGAAGGTACCAGAAGGAGTTGATCAATATTCCTCATCTTCGAACTTTAACTAAGCTTGGAAGAAATATTACGACGTGCAAAGTTTGGACGAAATCGGTTGCTCCCTTCGAGAGTTATGGTGCGAATCAGCCGGCCAGACAGACGCACGGACATTTGTAATTCGACTCCAAATTGTGTGAAACGGATTTGGTCCAAAGAAACATGGGGTCTAAAACCAATATTTCGATGAGGCACATTTATACCATATCAATGTGTATATAGCCTCGTTAGCCATAAGGCTGAGGGTATAAAAAGTGTCTGAAGTCCTTTCAGAATATGCATCAACATGGACCAATGTTCAACTTTTTCCGCAAAAAAATTCTTTACCCACAAAAAAATTTTATGGAGCGGAAGCTTCATATTGTGCCTATTTCCAAAATTTTGGCCGGAAGATTTGTCCAAATTATAACGTCTCTGAACCCCTTCAGAATATGGAACACTGAGAGCCCATTATATAGAAACTCTACCTAATCGTGGCCCATATTGGGGATGAAAGGGTATTAGTGTGTAGAAACGGTTACATTTAAGAATAGACTAATCAAACGTTAAAATAAATATCGATTTCTCATCTTTGAGGACCCCACCTAAAATCTTATGAGCAAAATTTTTGTTTGCGTGGATGAAAAATCTCATCTTTTAAAAGTTCTATTCGGTTTTAATAAATTAAGGACGAAAAGGACACATGGAGTTAAAAGGACGATTTTACTGAAGAAATTTAATATCAAACAATGCATTCAATAGCTACAAATCAAGATGTGAAGCTATCTCTTAATGTATTATATATCGCCATATCTCCGATTATGATTTTGTCGCACAGTGTAATACATGTAGTTCAGGATTTTCTGTTACCTACGAAAATTCGACATCACAGAATAGGTATTATTGATCAAAAGCACATAGAACCCTAACTATGTTCCGAAATCAAAGCTCAAGTACTGTCAGATGTTCTGCTATTTCAAAAAAGGTCCTTGAATTTCAACAAAAAGGTATATAAATAAACAGCCCAGTTTCGAAAAATTCAGGATGTAATTATCGGGAAAATACCTTAGAATATTTGTTCCCTATCGTCCTGTTGGATAAAATGAACATTGAAAAACATATTCGAATTACTTCAAACTAATATCTCTCCCCATATTTTACAGAAAAGTAAATAAATCCTATCGCGGACGTTCCTGCCCCATTGTGGTACATGGCAGTGGTGGTGCCGGTCGTACAGGAGCATACATTCTACTGGACTTGGTATTGGGACGAATGAATAAGGGCGCTCGAGAAATTGATATTGCGGCAACACTGGAACATTTGAGAGATCAACGGGCGGGTTTGGTGGCGACACGGCAACAATTTGAATTCGTACTGATGGCAGTGGCTGAAGAGGTGCATGCCATACTAAAGGCTCTACCGGCAAATCAATCAAATGAAAAGAAAGATGTGGAAACAACACGTGAGACTGGAGTACTGAAAGAGGAAGAGGAGACAACGACAACAGGAACAGGAGCAGCGGCGTCAACAACATCAACACCCACCAATAGCAAAGGCAAGGCATCAACGACTACGGCTACGGAGGATAAGGACAAAGATAAGGAAAAGGAAACGAAACAGCAGCAGCAACAGACACCGGCAAAGACGACAACGGCAAAATCGGCATCGCCGAAAGGCGATGCTAAAAAGAAATAAAAACGGGGTTTTTAAGTTCAGTTAAATTAATTTTTTGGTTCTACATTTTTTTATTGAAAAGGATGTGTTAGTCATGGAAGGTTCGAAAAAGGCTAATATGGTGTGCAAGATGATGGCTCAATTATTTTCCAAGATTTTTGTTTTAGATTTTGTCTTTAAGTTCCACTAACGTTTTCTGTTAATGTGTTAATACTAGCAATGCTGTGTCAATGTGTGTGCCCGATTTACTAAATTACCAGCCCTTAGCTAAATTTGGAGACATTTTTGATAGCTTGCTAGAGGATTAACCGCTAACAGAAAATGCCCTAAAGCTAAGCTTAAGTGTTGGTAGTAAATAAGTCTATATATAAACGTTTATATAAAACATACAACCAAAAACATAAATATATTTATATATGTAAGAAATGCTTAAAAGAAATAATATAAAATATATACAACAAAAAGAGAACACGTTAAAAAACCAATTATAAGTATGAAAGATGAAGAAGATGAAAACAAACAAAAAAACCATTAAATTATTATCATTATTATGTATTAATTTTATTCTCCATTCCAAAAACTAAAAAAACAAATAAATAAGTGTACTAAAAATGTATAGATGTCTATAACAATAATAACAACAACATAAAAGCATATTAATTATCAAAGAAGGTGTTTACTATTCTTATTGGCACCCGCGCTCTGCTTACGGGTTAAAAAACAAACAACAACAAAGATTGGCAAAAACAAATCAATACATAGAGATTGCAGATGAAGGCGTAATAAAACAACAACAACCACAAATAAAATACAAGAAATTGCTATTTTTCCTATTATTATTAACAACAATTATTATTATCGATGTGTTTGTTATTACAAAAAACAACAACAAATATATATCATTAACTAATATGTGTACCTTAATTAAAACAAAAATACAACTGAAATCATATATATGTAAAATTACAAAACAAGGGTGTATCACACACACATATATATACAAAAACTTATGAACATTTATATGCAAACCAAACCATAAATAAATTATTATTATTATTGTAAACCAAAAATATATATGAAAATATATAAAAAATAATAATAATATATCAATTAATAATGTATGACATATTAAAATGGATTGACCTGAAACTATTTCTATTTATAGATTTTTAACAATTTTTATTTGAAAAAATCCAATCCTTGATTGCCAAATTTCAAAGAAGTCAATCAGTTTTTAATAAAAACTCAAATTTGGGCAGCTAAAAAACTGTAAATTTGGCAATGAAGGTTTTGGAACGTTGAATATGTTGAAATACGAATATTTTTTTTTAATTCGCACAATTTTTATTTTAGTTTAGATGAAATTTGTTGGTATTTATAAATAAAAAATCACGGTGCTGTCATAGTGTACATTTGTGGCAAAATATATGTAAACTGAAAATGGAAATACCCCCTAAAAATCACGTTTTCAAAAAATTCTTCAGAAACCCAAAGTGAGGTCATGTTAAAAATTATATTTATTTTCAAGATTTTCTGATATAATTGGGTTGATTCAAATCCCGTCCTAACAAATGTTACTGTAGAAAAAAAAACTAAAAAAAATAATAGTGGCAAAGCATTCGCCTTCAACTTTTTATTTTAAGTCAAGATGAGATTATGTTAAACATTATATTTATTTTCAAGAATTTCTAATAGAAATAGGGTTATTTCAGAAGATGCCTTGTTGCCAAAAATACATGTTCCCCAACATCCGCAGATAACTTAGATTCCACAAGGGCTCATTTGGCTGGGGTAACCGGAGTAAAATTTCATTTTAGGATTATATAAAAGGGAATTATTAACCGAGAATCGGGGAGAGGTTTCAATGAGAAATTTTCTGGGCGGAAAATTCATTTGAGAATCTGTCAATACATTTGACCTGATCCTGTAAACAAGTTGGGCCTTGCTGAAGCCAATGAATGTGTGCCATAGAAGTCTTTTTGCCAAAAATACATTTTCCCTAACATCCGTAGATTACTTAGCTTCCAGAGTCGCTCATTCGGCTAGGTTTTACGGAGAACAACTTCATTTTAAGATTATTTAAAGGGGAAATATGACATTATCTTTATTATCATTGAGGAATTTTCCTGGCTAATTCGGTTTTTGGGGTGCCTTACTCCACGAGTTCCTTTGAGAACTTACCTGAAACCAGAATGGTCCTTGATGGAGTCAATGTGTTTCGTAGACGAAGCCTTGTTGCCAAAAGAACATGTTCATCAACAACCGCAGATAAATGAGTTTACAAGGTCGCTAATTTTCCTAGTATATCCGAAGAAAAATTTTCTTCTTCGGATTCTTTAAAGGGGAACCATGTCTCTATCGTCCTCATTGAGGAATTTCCCATGCAGATATGGTTTTTGGCTTACTTTAATCCACAAGTTCCTTTTGAGAACAATATGACTTCCTTGAAACCATGATGGGCCTTGCTGAAGTCAAAATGGACCATATGTGAAACCTTTTTGATTAAAGTAAATGTTCCACAACATCTACAGATAGGTTCTACGATGGCTCATTCCGCCGGGATAACCGGAGAAAAACCTCATTTTAGGATTATTCAAAGGTGAACCATGTCTTTATAGTCTTCATTGAGGAATTTTCCTGGCTAATTTAGTTTTTGGCGTGTTTTAATCCACAAAATACTTGGAGAACTCGTCCATACATTTCACCTGATCCTGAAACCAGTATGGGCCTTGCTGAAGTCAAAAACGGCCATTTCACAACATCTTCAGATAACTTAGCGTCCACTTGGGCACATTTCGCTGGAGCAATCGGAGGAAAAAATCTATTTTTTTAGAGGGGAATCCCAATTCAGGAATCTGCATTCCCCATTGCAAATATGCCGTCTTGAAGGCCGAGTTTTGGATCTCATTTTCTCGATCAACTCCATATAATGTGAGTATATTTTTCTGGCCTGCATTATCCTGCTGAAACAGTGCGTTCTTAGAAATCTTGCGGGATTTTGCATTTTGGTATTGTAGACTACGAAAACCCGATAGTTTTGAGGAGTAACAGCTAGGATAAAGTTTTTTTTAGCTTGCAGATCCTAACCAGAGGCTATCACTTCAATTTCTAATGAAATACAATGTTGTAACGTTATGACTCTTAAAGAGTTGTACAAATGAATAAAAAAAATACAAAATGTTGTTTTCCAAAAACTTGGACGAGAAGATTTACATCTCGAAAAATGCTGTAGGGAAATCAATCCGTTCCTATGGACATCGAAGTAGAGTTTCGTTATACTCTATCAATATTCATTTACATACTCAAAAAAATCTCCTACGCCTTCGTGGAAAGAATTTGAGAACCACCATTTACGATTAATGACACATAGGATTTAATCAGCCTAAGGAAATATGTATTCAGCTGCCACGCAGAAGTGTCGCATCCATAGACATTTTAGTTTTCTTCTGTAGTAGACATACATAAATGTAAAAGGTTCCAAAATTAGCAACCCCACAGTTAAGCAAGGCCGTTCAGAGGAAGTTTCGTTTCAAAAATGAGGAAAGTCGACAGAGGCAGTTTTGTTTCAAAAATGAAACTTCCTCTGAAGACCGGTCATTAAAGTAAAAAATGCGCAGAGTCTTAATTGAATTGAATTGAAAATATTTCAATACAAGAAATCCTCAACACCTCCGTATAGAAATGTGGCCATTTATTTATTTATATCTTGAAAAAAATCCACCTTCATAAAACCTGACTACTGAAATAGTCAGCACAAGGAACGTTTTAGGAATGTGTTGTGGAATTTTTATATAGAAATATTTTCTATGAAGACTGAAATGTCCTGAGAGGAGAAGGCTATACAATTCGTACTCATTAAAAATTTCGCTTATTGCAACAATTTTCACATAACCATAATGGGAAACTTTGTTCTCCCCAAAAATATTTTTGAAGACCGAAAAATTAATGTCTAATATGTATGAAAAACATTATCGGAAACCTTTTGTGAAGTTCCATCATCTTTGAGGGATTTCATTAACAAATTTATAATATCCTGAAAAAGGTGTTTTTCTGATTATTGATAATTCGGTGAAAATAAAAAAATTATTTATGAGGATGTTTGGAAAATATTATTCACATCCTGTAGACCGGCCTCAACAATCGACTTTGAAGTTATTTCTCTGAAGAATTTTCATTAAGACCCGATGAAAATAAATACCTAATTTTGACACAACTTTACTTTGAAGGTGATTTATATACAAAAAATAAACAAAATTATACAAACGATTCTAGATAAAGAAGTTTTCATTAAAAACGCACCGTGAAATAGTTCAATTCTTTTTATTTTATTTATTTATTTTTAGCCACCCACCCTGGTGGCCTATTCATATTTAGCTGTTTATTTATAAAAGGATGCTCAAATATTAAAAAAAAAATCATAAACCTATAATTTGCTTTAGTTTAAAATCGAATGCTTCTTACTTTAAAGTACAAACAATAAATCACAACAACAAAATACAGAAACCAAAACAATGATGGGATATCAGTAATGAAATTAAAAATAAAAAATAATAAAAAAAAATAAATAACAAAAAACCACACACACAATTTATATATAGTAAGCAAGAAAGTTAATAAATGAAAAAAAATATGAAATAAAAAATACCAACAACAAATTAAACTATATAAACTGAAAAACAAACGACAAGAAACATAAAAGTAGCTTTCATTCAAAATTTTTTGTTCTATTCTAGATTTAAAACAGAACACACACGAAACAAAACATTTCATTTTGGCATAGAAAAACAAAACACACATTACAACAACTACAACAGAAAAAAGCAAATAAAGTAAAATATTACAATAACTGTGGAGTTAAAAAAATATATTAAAAAATAAAACAATAACAACAAACAATAAAAACACACAAGAACAAATGGAAAGTGTAAATAACAATAACATGATGATTATGAAAAACAAAAAACAACAACAAAACACTTTGAAAACCAATTAAGCAGAAAATTGGGAAAAATGTTTTTGAT